AGGAAGTGACCTCGCCAGTAACAGATGTCCGTAGTGTCAGAGTGCGGGAAGCACGTGAGTGGCGGCCAGGCCCCGAATACACTGGCAGGCAGAGCTGGTGGGAAGGGCACAGGTTTTGCATATGGGGTTGGGGGTGGCAGGTGGGCCCTTCCCTCCTACCCCAGCCCGGACGTGTGTGATCTCGGGGTCTTCATCAACCAAGTACCTGGATATGGACCGTACAGGCCAGTCCCCACCCAGTTCAGCCCTTAGTTTACAGATGTGGAGGCTGAAGAAAGAGCTCAGGAGGTCCCCTTTTCCAGCTCCCCAGAGAGGGGTTGTGAACCCTCCAAGTCCCCACGGAGTCTCAGTGGCTGAACTCGCCCTCCAACTTGGCCTCCAGGCCCCTGGTCCAGGCCCCTTGCTGCCCATCCCCTCGGCTTCTCTGCCAAAGATGGAGGAGGAGGGAGGACCCACTGCTGGGGAATGATCTGACCAGACCGGATGGTGTGGCGAGGTCACTGGGGGAAGCCTGGATGACACGAATGGGAGATAGGGCATGGCCCTGGGGGCAGGCGGGGGGGTGGGACATCATGGAAGGGGCTGGGGGCCGGAGCTGAGGCCTGGCAGGGCAGGGAGGAGGCACCAGGGCAGCCTCTGCAGGCCGGCGGGGCTGGGAGTGGCAGCCGAGGAGAGGGAGGCCCCAGAGCAACTTCCTGCAGGGCCTCCCGGAGCCCGACCCCGGGAAAGACAGGGCGGGCGAGGCCAGCGGTGCCCCTGGGCCACACAGGTCTGTGCACCTCCAACCCACCCCACCTCGGAGGGGCTGGTGGGGGCTCCTCCGTGGGAAGGTAAAGCAGGGAAGAAGAAGCTGGAGACGCAGTCAGTGGTGCTAGAAGGAGTCGAATCGGGTGGCCCGGATTTCTCTCCCTGTCTGCTCCTCAGACCAATGACAGTGTCAATACCTTCCTGTCACTCAGGGCTTCTCTTGGGGGAGGTTGTTTTGGGGGATGGCCCTCTATGTTAACCCCACTTACAAATGAGGCTCAGAGACTGTAAGGAACTCTCCTGGGGTTACACAGTTAAACAGGGGCAGACTCAGCATTTGAAGGCAGCCTCTTAACCACAGGTGTCCTGTCTCTGGTCCGGCTGTGACCTTGAGCAAGGCTGCCTGGGTCTCAGTCTCCAACATGATGGAGTTGGACTAAAGGAGCCCCATGGGCCCCTGTGACCCGCGCCTGGGCCCGGAGCTGCTTCTGCAGTGGAGGGGCTCAGGAGTCTGAGGCAGGGGCATGGGGGCTTGTCTCAGAACTGTGTCCTGCACCGGCCTGGGGGACATGGCTAAGCGCAGGCCTGTGCCAGGCCACTATGTCCGCTGAGGGTAGCTGCACGAGTCAGGGCAGATAACGTGTCTCGTAGAGGGCCTGGCACACAGTAGGTGCTCAGGAAAGTGACGGTCCTTAACCTCCGTCAGAGAGCGGAGGCTGTCCCCTCACAGCCCACCCGTTCACGCATGCAGCAAGTGCTCGCTCACTACGGCCTGTGTGCTGACGCCATGCTTGACACTGGTGACAGCGGTGTCCCCAAGTTGCATTAACTCCCTGACTTTGTGAAACTTATATTCTAGGGGGAGACTCAGACTCACCCCCCCAAAATTCAAATGAGTACCATGTGGAATATGCTAGACAGTGTGATAAGTGCCAGGAAAAACAGAAGCAGGGAAGGGGGGAGGCAGTGCCCTGGGGGGGCTAGAATCTTACCCTGGGAGGGCTGGAGAGCTTTTCCGTGAAGGCGACTCAGGAGGCAAGACCGGAGGGTGGTGAGGGAATGAGCACCGGCATCCGAGTGGAGAGGCGCCTCGTGGTGGGAACCGCCAGGGCTGAGGCCCCGGGAGCAGATGGGGTCAGGACCTGACCTGCAGTGAATGAGGTGCCCACAGTGGAGACTCAGGTTTGGGAGGACTGAACCCGCCTCCCCGTCACTGGCTTCGTCTGTCGTAGCCTCCTGATGTGGCACGTCCAGGGCTGTCCTGGAGATCCCCAGCTGGTGCTCTGGGGTGCCAAGGAAACAGGTGCACAGGTCAGACTGGAAAGGTGCTGAGGGACTCCTTTTCCTGACCCAGCGCGGAGTGGCCGAACCCCAGGGCAGGACCCACGGTGAGCAGGGACTCCCCGACACCTACTGGGTCCCTACCGCATCTTCCAGGTGGGCGGGTGGGTGTGTAGGGTGGGGGCTCGGGGAACTCAAGCTGGCCACGCTCTTGGCATTTAAAGCTGGGAGGTGAGACACAGAATCATGCAGAATCTAGTCTGGAGAGAAGTCAGGCCCAGATGTCTTTTTTTTTTTTCTTAAGAGAAAGGGGAAGGGAGGGAGAGAGGGAGAGAAACATCAATGTGTGGTTACCTCTCATGCGGCCCCAACAGGGGACCTGGCCCACAGCCCTGACTGGGACACAAACCAGCAACCCTTTGGTTCACAGGCCAGCACTCAACCCGTTGCCACACCACCAGCTAGGGAGATTTATCTTAATTCCTCAATTGGCTTTTGTTTCTCCTTAGGGCTGGGCCGAAAAGCTCTTTAGAAGGATGCAGGGGTTGGTCTTTGAGGGGTGTAGGAAGGCAGATAACTTGGGCCCATAGCACAGCTAAGCAGGGGTGTGTTTGAGAAGCTTTTCCCCGGGCAGACATGGGTGGGGACAGCAGAAGAGAGGAGGAGCAGACCTTTGGGGGGAGGACTGAGTCTTAAAACTGGAGGCCCAGGGAACTGACCGGGATCTTGGGTTCAGCCCAGGTGGGGGGTGGCAGTGGTTACAAGTTGTGGAATGGGGATGCGACATGGGACTGGACTGGAAGCTGCTGGTTAACGCGTGCCCGTAGGCAGGCCTGAGATCCTCTCCACGAGAATGGAGCAGGACTTAATCTGTGGTCATCTGAGAGGATTCGCCGAGATAACCTCCCCGGGGCAGTGCCGGGTGCTCTGTGGGCGCTGGAGGAGTACTAGTCCCTTCCGGGCCGGGAGGGCCCACAACTGAGAAGCGGGACCCAGGTCGAAAGGTTGGGGTGTCGAGGACGGGGGACACAGGGGTGCACCCTGCCCCTGCTCAGTGTGTCAGGCACTCTCAGCCTCTGGCCCTGGCCTGGGCCCTGGGTGGCCTCGGGGAGGGCTGGTCTCCATCGACGCAGGCCCCAGCATTAGCGGGGGTGGCGTGGAAACAGACGGCAAAGGGAGGGGTGCTGGTGGTGGGGCGGGGCGGCTGGCCTCTGGGGCAGGGTTGCACTTGGGGGCCTCCAGGCGATGAAGGGAGGGGCAAATACGGGTAAAGCGAGCTGATGTGAGGAAACAAGATGCGACCCTTGGGCTGTGACCACGGAGGGTGGGTGGCTGCTGCCCACGCCAGCTGAGTGTGGCCGGGACTCCGTGTAAGTTTGGGCCTGGAGTTGCCGGTTCTCCCAGTGCTTCAGGAAAAGTAGAGAATGTGGACCCGTGGTGTGAAATCTTTAAAACCACTGGGAACGAGCCCTGGCTGGTGTGGCTCAGTGGACCGAGTGCTGGCCTGTGAACAGAAGGGTCGAGGGCTCAATTCCCAGTCAGAGCTTGTGCCTCGGTTGCAGGCCAGGTCCCTAGTAGTGGGAGCATGAGAGGCAACCACACATTGATGTTTCTCTTTCTCCTCTCTAAAAATGAATAAATAAAATCTTAAAGAAAAAAACATTGGGAACCAATTAACAAAACAAATGACAGAAAACACCAGGCTGGCCACTTGAAGCCCGCCACCTTGGTCTGGCCCCGGCCCCTTGCTCTGGCCAAGGTAGCAGTGAGGGCAGGTCCCCAGCTGCCCGCCGTACGCCTCTCCTGCGAGGCTTGCCCTCCCTTCTCCTGTTCTTGGGCAGGAGACTCAGCCTCCCCGGACGGTATGGAGAACAGAGCCATCTTGCTGTGCTGCCCGGCCCTGGGCCCTTCCCTCTCTGGGCCAGTTCCTATTCTGCGACAGACAGCCCGGTCCGTGGGGCTCCCACCCTTCTGGGCCCCCGCATGACTCAGTGCCTCGGGCAACGAGGAAGATGCGGTTATTGTAGAAGCTATTGTAGAAGCGACTCTTCCCGGGAACCGTGCTTCCGGACGTGGGTACAGCGCACTCGCGGTTTGCGGGTCCGGGCACAGTTGTGTGAGTGGACGTGGGTCATAATTCGGAGCTTCGCAGCGACCAGAGTGAAAACACCATTGTTTGAACACCGCTGCCCTGGAACCTCTCATGGCGACTCTGGAGGCCGGCAGACCTAAATTAATTCTCCCGGGGACCCCAGGAGGCAGGGTCCTTCCCGCAAGTCCGGAACTCGGGCCGGGACGCGGGCGCCCCGCGCCCCCCGGGGGGAAGGAGGGTAGGTCTGAGTCTGCCGCGTGCCCGTCCGTTTCAGCGGCAGGAAGGGAACGGAGGGCGAAGGGAAAGGTCTTTGCCTTTGGTTTTTCGGGGTGGGGGTGAGGGTGGAGAGCAGCTGCGCCGTGGCCACCTCTGGACCTTTGGTCAGCGTCCGTCCATCGCTTCTGGTCCCGCCAGTCCCCTCGCCCCCAGCGGTCGGCCTGCCGCGTCCGCAGCCCTCGGGGCCGGAAGTCGGAGTGCGCCCCAACTCCCCAAACCCCCTCCTTTCGCCGGAGCGCGTGCCCACCGCCTTCGGCGGGGCGCCGCGGGCCGGGAGAGGACGGGAGGCCCCGGCGGGGCCCAGGGGTGAGAAGGGCTTGGGGTCCAGATCACCGCAGCTTCGCGTGCGCCCTCCCGCCCGCCCCGCGTTCCCGGGGTGCCAGCGTCTCCGTGTGCTCCCCGCCCCCCCAAGGCCGCGTTCCCGCTGGCTCCCCACCCCCCCGCACGGCCGGGGGGCCGTGTGTCCCTGCCGTGGCCCCCCAGCGTCCCCGGGAGCGGAGGGCGCGGGCCCTTTAAATCCTCCGGGGCGGCGGCGGGCCGGGGATGACATCAGCGGGCGGGCCCGGGGCTCAATGGGAGCCGCGGGCGCGCGCGGGGCGGGAGCGCGAGCCGGCGGCGGGGGCGGGCGGGCTGGAGGGCCCGGCGGAGGGAGGCGGCGGCCGCTGCGAGAGCCCAGAGCCAGAGCCCGGCCGGGGCCGAGCGGAGCGGAGCGCGGCAGCAGCGGCAGCAGCGGCGGCGGGGCCGGGAGAGGCTGGCACGCCGGGCGGCTCCGCGAATCCTCCAGCATCCGGCCCGGCGGGCCGCCCCCGCTCGCGGCAGCCCCCGGAGCAGCGGCCGGGCACCGGCACCGTCCCAGCGGGGTAAATATTGGGAGACCGGGGGCTCGCGGAGGGGCGCAAACCCGGGGGAAACGGGGCTCCCTCCGCCTCTTTGTTTTTGCGCGAGAGAGAGAAGGGAGGGGAGGGCAGGGCAGGGCGGACACCCGCTCGTTAGCGCTCGGAACCCGGCGGGGGGGGGGGGGGGGGCCGTCCAGGCGCCGCCCGCTCGGCCGGGCGAGGACAAAGGCGCGGCTGAGGCGGAGGCGGAGGAGGAGGAGGAGGAGGAGGAGGGTGACTATTATTTTGCAGGCTCGCGGGGGGAGGGCGCCCCTCCACCCCGTCCGGCCTGCCTCCGCCTCCCCTAGCTTGGACCCTTCAAGGCCACTGCCCGCCCGGGTGGCCACCTAGGGCTCTGACTTGGGCACGTTGAGGGAGGGGGTCCGGTGCGGGGGCATCCGACACTGTTGACTCGAGCTTCTCCTCCAGACCCGGGCTTCCGTTTGTCTGCCTGTCTGTCTCACCGGACAGCCAGCAGCAGCGCGTTCCCTTCTCTCCCGGCTCCGCGCTCCGGACCTGGGGGTCAGCCAGGCTGTGCCCGCGGGTGGGATGGGGGCACTTGGGGGCCCCGAGATGAGGGGCGTGTAGTCACCCAGCCGCCGGTTCTGTTTTCCTTTGTGGAGAGAAAGAAAGGGGTGGGGGTTATTTGTCAGATCGGGTTCTCCCGGCTGTGCCTGTGAGAAATCTGTGTTTTGTGAGTCTCTGTGGAGCACACAACTCCGCGGCCCCCCCACCCCCCACCCCGCGTCTCGGGAGACAGGACTCCGGAGCTCCTCCGCACGCCCGGGCTCGAGGCGGGGCGGCCCCCTCCCCAACTCTCCTTTAGGTTTCTTGCATATCTTGTTCTTGGCGCAGCCTCCCTCAGGGAGAAGAAGGGGATCCAGAGTATCTGAGTTGCACCCCAAATGCCCGTGTTTGGGGCTCCTGTGCTTTCTGTCTAGGATGTTTCCAAGTTTTATTTTACGTCCAGGGACTAGGGTCCTGGCAGGGACAGGGGCGGGCCACAGGGTGTAAGTAACTGCCTCGAGCGGGGTGCTTGGTAGTTTGTGTGAGTGTAACTAACTGAAACTCCGAGTCTTCGTGTGGCTTTTTTTTTTTCTTTTAAATCGTTTGTCCCCCCTCCTGCCCCTGCCCCCCATGGGAGAAGCAGCAAGGAGCTGGAGAGCCTCTCCTGTCCCCTCCCGGAGGCCTTCGGGGGCCCTGGCGCCGGGACCGGGCTCTGCCTGGGGTCTGCGCGCTGGGCCGGCGCAGAGCGGAGGTGGCCCCTGCAGGGTCCGTGGTTCGCACTTCTCTTCTCCCTTCCCTGCTGGTGGCCCAGGGAGTGGGGAGGGGCTGGGGGGTCCCGTGCAGTGTATTTATGTAAGACACGCAGACGGAGGGCACGGGTATTTATGTAACCCGGCGTGGGTATTTATGTAATATGGGATGCGGGTGTATTTAGGTGCCTTTTCGAACCTGCGGCGTCCCCGGCTGCCGAGTGCGGTGTCTGAATCGGCGTCGGCGGGGCACAGGCCCGGGAGGGTGTTTGTGTGTTTGTGTGTGTGTACACACCCGCGCCTCCCCGCCCCCACCCCTGCGCACCGCGGCGGGGCTCTTGGTGTGCGCCTGCTTTCCTTCTCTTTTGGAGTGCGCGCGCGCCGGACGGTGGGGATATGAGGTGCGTGGCGCGTGGGTTTCCTGCGATTGTGGAGAGCGTGCCGCTGGCAGCCCTGGCATCTCAGCCGGGACCGGCCGGGCGTGGACGCAGAGGCCCTTGGTCAAGAGCCCAGAGTTTGGCCAGCTCCAGGGTGCAGGCTACTTCCTTGTGGCCACTGGGGAAGGCTGGTGGCGGCGCCCTGGGTGCCAGGTGCTGGGGCTGATGTCGCTCCTGGCGCCTTACCTCTGGCGGAGGGCGGTCTCGGGCCTGGCCTCCCGCGGACTAGACCTCTCTGGTCTCCCTCCCCTGTGCGGCTGGCTTTGGGGGCTAGCACTTGGCATGGGGAAGGGGCAGAGCCTCTGTGCCTGGCACAGCTCCTCTTTGCCTGCCAGCTCTGGCATGAGCTGAGTCCTTATTTGTGTGGGTGCAAGGCCACCAGGTGGGGAGGCGAGAACCCTGTGTGGGTCGCAGGTGAGGAGACAGCCTCTGATTTGGTGAGGTGGGGTGGGGCAGGGTGGTCAGGGGGCATGGCCTCTCTGGGCCCGAGTTCCTGGTCTCAGAGGAAGACCCCTCTGGCTGTCTTCTGTGGTGGCCCTCGTGTCCGCATGGAGAGATCGTGGGGGTCCTCCATCTCCCTCAGTGTCACAACCCAGTGTCCCCTCTCCCCCCACAGAGGAAGAGTACCCCCCGCTGAGGAGTTTCCTCTTCTGCTGGCCAGCCCCCAGTGCCCAGACCTTTGCCCCAGGCCAGAGCAGAGGGGTCTCCACCAGGGACCCCAACGTCCCACAGGCTTGGGGCACAGGACATAGGGGAGCTGTTCACGTCAGCACTCCTCGCCCCCCGCCCCACAGGAGCTCAGAAGCCAGGGCCAAGAACCTGGCTCGGGTCCCTTGGCTTGCTCAGCTGCCCTCCTAGAAGACCCTCCCGAGGGTTCTGGGCCTGAAGGAGGCCAGTCAGTCCCAAGCGGTCCATCCGAAGGAGTATGTCCAGAGCGGCCTGTGTGAGCTTCTTGGTGTCACAAGGTCGAGAGGAGACTACGTTGTAGGGCACCCCGCAAACGCACAGTCTGGCTTCTGGGGAGAGCGGACCAGGCCTCGGAGGCCTGGCCTCTGATTCTTGGCACCGGAAGCCTGGGGTGGGGACGTGGCCAGGGCGACTCAGTAATTTCTGAGTCCAAAGGGGCTGAGCAGTTTCCTAGGGACCTTCTGTTCAGCTTGTTTTCCCATCCCCCGAAGTTGGAACTTGCTGGTGGTTGCCATGGTAGCACCCCCAGGCCAATCAGCTCCTGCATGCCCCCTCCCCATCACCCTCTGTCCTCGATTTCCTTTTTAGGGGCTTGGGCCACTGTGACTGGCCTGTCCCTGAGAGGCTCCTATTGGAGGGTCCCAAGTGGGGGTCCCCCAAAGTTCCCCCCCAGGCCTTGTCTCCATTTTGCCGTGAGCCTGCCTCGGCCGTTGCCCAAATGCGGAGGTTCTCGGGCCACCTGATGATACCTGGTTTTCCCCAGGCCAGGCCAGTCCCCTTCCTGGACAGTGGGAGGGACAGTGCTGGTCTCCCAGTTCCTGTGGCTTTGGCTGGCCTTATTGGGGGAGGGATGGGACTCAGCTCCCCACTTCTCTGACCCCTGTGTTTCTACTTCCCTCCACAGTGAGAGCGAATCATGGAGCTCCGTGTGGGGAATAAGTACCGCCTGGGCCGGAAGATTGGGAGCGGGTCCTTCGGAGATATCTACCTGGGTGAGTATGCTTGGCTCCTGCTCAGTGGTTCTGGGGCCCCTGGTACAACTTTGGGGACAAGGAAGAGGAAAGATGCCAAGATTTCAGGCTGTGAAGTTGGCACTTGGTTCCGCAGCTGCGGTGGCATGGTTTAGTCATTTTGTCCCTAGGGCCATCTCCAGTGGGGGCAGAAGCGGCAGGTTGGGACGAGGGGCTCCTCACACAGACAGGGCGGGGTTCCTGCTTGCTGCGCCGGGCAGGGGAGGGTATTTTTAGCTCTGGTTCCAGCTGTGGATGCCCTAGGTCTCCGCCGGGCGTGGGAAAGCCCGGGCTGGAAGAGCACCCCATCTCTCGTCTCCCGGAGGACGCTGGTGGACAGGGAGGCCGGGCTCCTGCCTGCTCCAGCTCGGCCCCCTCCCTGCAGTTCGGCCTCCTGGAGTTCAGCCCAGGCAGGCTTCAGAATGACGCAGGCTGCCCCAGCATCCTTGGGGGAGGCAGGGGTCTCTGCTTTTAGGCTCTCTCTCTCTCCGGATGTGCTTCCTGTTCAAAAGTCTGAGTCTGTGCTCATTTTGTTGTTTTAAACGAATCCCTGACATCTCACCCCTGCCCTTGCTCGGGAGCAATAGAGACTCCTGCCTTCGAACGCCACTTCCAGCCCCTCAGGGGCACAGTCGGGGGGGGGGGGGGGGGGCACGCAGACGGGGCAGAGGGGGCAGACCAGTTCTCTGCAGATGTGCTCTGTGCTGAGTGGGGCCCGTGCTTCGCCTCCCATCACAGCAGCATCTGGAGACGGCCCTGCACTGTCCCCACTTCACTCAGAAGCAGTGTGGTCAGCTTGCCCCCCACCCCCCAGGTTTCTCTCAAACACCAGGAAAGGCAGCCCTTGTGCCCCCAGTCCTCCGTGTGAGTGACACGTCGGGCCCAGAAGACAGTACGTGGGAAGGGGACATCAGATAGACCTGGGCTTTAGGCCTGGCCTTGTGTGGCCGCTCAGGGCTTCAGTGTCCCCTTCTGGAAAGTGTGAGCGATGACGTTGTTTGGATGGCCCAGGGCTGTCGTGAGGCAGAAGTGACGTGGCTCGTGGCTGGGAAAGCATCGTAAATAGTAGCACAGCGCGTTGCCCGGCGCCCTGTAGCTCCCCCTACTGGAAGCACCGGGGGAGCTCAGAGGGGAAGGAAGGAGCGGCCAGGCTGGAGCTGTTGGGAGGTTTGTCTGAGACGCCCTGCTCCTCCAGCCGCAGCAGGCGCTGGGGCGCTGCTGGCCACTGCCCTGGTGCCCAGCCTGCGGCTTGCCCAGAGTGGGAGTGAGTGAAGCCACTTCGGCAGAAGAGCTGGGAGATGGCTGTCACCTGCCTCCGAGGCGTGTGAAGCGGCCACACTTCAGGCAGGGCAGGGGGAGGCTGGGATTTGGGGGCAGGTCCAGGTTCAGGGCCCCCGGTCCGCGTCTCATCTGCTGTGTGGCTCAGGACAGGTCACTCTCCCTGAGCCTCAGTGTCCCCATCTGTGATGCCCGTGCTCTTGCTGTTTTTATGATTTGGCTGCGTATGAAGGGGCCCTCTTATCATGGAGGTTCCCGGGCTCCGGACGGAAGCCTCAAACCGGAGGGCATGCAGAGGCAGCTCGCGGTACAGACACACACCGGCTCCCAGACAACACCCACCGGTGCAGGGCCTTCTTTTTGTTGAAGGGAAACTGAGGCCCAGAAAGGGACAAGGGTAGGCCAGGATCTCTCAGAAAGCTAGGGTCCCTGGTCCGTGTGGCAGGACTTCCTATTTATCTAAATAGTTTGTTTCAGAAACTGGGCCCAGATGCATCCCTGCCGTACAGGCTCCAGAGTGAATTCTACCGGAGTTTGGGTGCTGGCATTTCCGTCACTAGCTGTGTGGGCCTTGAGCAGGCGAGGGCCTCTTCCCACCTTGGCGTTCCCTTCTGTAAAATGGGGGTGTGTGAGGGTGCAGCGTGCAAAACCCTGCACACACTCGGCCTGGCAGTGGCGCCTTTTTGGTTGCGTCCCTCGGCCTCAGCCGGGATTTGCTGCTGGTCCCCTCGGGCCGGGCGGCGGCGGGGGAGGAGCCTCTGTCTGTCTGGTCTCACCGGGTGTGTGTGCCCTGGGGGCCCCGGGCTGACACAGTGCCCTGCCAGCGCCTTCCTGGGCCCCAGTCTTGCTGGCGTGGGCACAGTGGTGCTGGAAGGGCTTCCCCGGCTGGCCTCGCTGGCGCCCTTTGTTCAGCTCTCCGGCCACGTTCTTGTTGCCACGGCCAGGGCCTGACTCCAGATGGCCTCCGCAGGTGGGGCTGGGCGCGGCCTCCAGGCCCTGCTTTCCAGGATCGGTTGGAGGTGAGGACTTCGTGGATGCGGCCTCCAGGCCCGCAGCTCCTCTTCGGGCCCGGTTCCCCAGCTCCTGGCCGCGTTGTGAGGGGACAGCAGGAGAATGGGGCCAGCTCCGTTACGGCCTTGAGTTGGCTGCTCGAGGTCCAGAGCTGGCCAGGCCTGCGTCCACTCTGCCAGCTGCTGGCTGTATGCCCTCAGAACTCTGGGTCTTTTAGTCTAAATGGCCCTCAGTTCTAAATGGGAGGCAGTGGTACTCCCGCCTGGTGGTTATGGGGATACTTGGTCCCCCACCTCTAGTCTAGCCAGCTCCCTGATTGCGTCTGTGTGTCCGTGTGGGTGTGAAGCCGGTCACCCCTTCCCCATCTAGAGTTTCCTGAGCTTCCAGACCTTCTAGGGCTGGCCAGGTCCAAGGTTTTCTCCGTGTCCAAGTTTGTTTTCCAAACCAGTCTGCCCCCCCCTCGCCGGGCCTCGTGCCTCATGGCCAGCTGCCTCTGCCGCCCCCGCCCTAGCATTTCCCACTGAGTCAGTGAGTTCCTCCCACAGGCGGTGGCTGAGCTCCGCCAGGCAGGGCCGCAGTGGCCAGCCCCAGGCTCCGTGTGTGTGTGTCTGTCGCTGGAATGAATGAGATGCCAGGGGAGTGGAATACAGAGCAAAGCAGGGGCTTTCGGGGTGTAGTTTCAAATCCCAGCTCTGTTGCAGCCAGTTCTGTATGACCTCAGGCCAGTTAGTTAACCTCTCTGAGCCTCAGCTCCGCAGTTGTGAGAATTAAGGGAGGCAGAGAAAAGACTGGGAGCTTCTGGACAGAAATTAGAGGCGGCAGCAGCAGGGCCCAGTGGTGGTGGGACCCCAGGGCAGGAGGCCGCTGGGACCGGTTTCCAGCATGTGGTGGGAGTCAGAAGATTGCCTAGCAGCCGGGCCATTGTCCCAGAGAAGTTGTGTGGCATTTGACCTTTGGCGTGTCAGTCTCTACAAACACTAGGACCCGCGGGCTGGGGTCCGGCTGGGCTGGTGTAGGGAGTTCAGGGGGATTGAGGGCTCCTACCCTCCACCTCCCACCTCGGCGAGGGCGCTCTCCCCTGCACCTCGCCTCCCGGCGCACACATGCTGGATGCTAAGGGCTGAAGCGTTGTCCCAGCCTTGGGTCTCCCTCTGGTCCTCTCCAGTCCCTGCACTAGTGGGTCTCAGCAAGGGGAGGAGGGAGTTTCGTCCCACGGGGGATGTTTGACAAGGTCTGAAGACATTTTTGGTTGTTTCTACTCAAGGAAGAGGGGATACAACTGTCAGCTGGTGGGTGGAGGTTGGGGATGCTGCCCCACACTCTGCAGGGCCCGGGACAGCCCTCACAGCAGACTGTCCGGAGGGTGGGGGCTGAGGAACCCTGCAGTCAAGCATCGGCCCTTGGCCCCTGGAGTCCCGGGCCAAAGGCCAGGGTTCGCTCAGCGGTCGAGGCCCAGTTTCTCCCCCGCTCCCCTCTGTCGCTGTCATCTTTACCCGTAATGCGGGGTTCCCTGCATCCTCGCCCATCGGGCCTTTGCACGTGCTGTGGGCCATCTGGCGCAGCCCTGACCAGGCAGCCCACCATGCCCCCTGTCCCCATCCTTTCCGCCCACTGTCCCACACGTGCCTGAGGTACTCGGGCTCATCGCTGAAGCCCAGGGGTTGGCACTGGTCGTTAAACCTAATGTTTCTTGAGCACTTCACAGTGTGTCAGGCACGTGGCTAAGCTGGTTGACACCTCACACGACCTTAATTAAGAGTTAGGTACGGTCGCCCTGATTTACAGGTGGGGTGCCTGGTTAGGAGGTGGCAGAGTCAGGGTTTGGGCTCTAGAGCCCAAAGTCCTAACCACTGTGCTCTCCTGCTCTTGTGCGGGTGGGGAGAGCAGGCCTGGCCAGCCCAGGGGACTGCAGTGAGCCTGGGCTCCCCTCCCTGCCACATCCTCACGTCCCCTAGAACCGAGCGCGGCCCCTCCCAGCAGTGAGTGGTGATGTGTCTAAAGTGCTGCGTAGTTTGCCAAGCACTCTCTGTCCCGTTGCTCACTGGACACAGTAATCTATTTTATTTTCTTAATCTGAGTTTCATTTCATGTGGCTCAAAAATGAAAACATACAAAACCAAAAGCCCAAACACAAAAACAAGTTAAGTGAAAGAAGCCAGCACAAGACCACATATTGCATGATTCCATGGCTGCGAGAGGTCCAGAATTAGGCCGTCCCTGGAGACAGAAAGGAAATGAGTGGTTGCTGGAGCTGGGGGGGAGGCGGAGGCGCAGCCACCGGCTACTAAGGGGAATGGGTGCCTGGGGATGATGAAAATGTCCTGAAACTGACTGTGGTGTTGGTTGCACAATCTTGTGAATAGACTAAAAAACCACTGAAGGGATACTTCAAAGGAGTCATGGTGCAGTATGTGAATTACAGCCCCACAAAGGTGCAGAAAGAAATGATAGCGTATAACACAGTATCCAATGAGATGCCCTCCCCGCCCTGCCCACCCTGATGGGTCCAGTGATTACTGGTTCTCTTGCTTCTTTTCAGTGTTTGTTTATGTAGATACAACCACACAGGGATACATATTATTTCCCCACCTTTTCTTTTCTTTTTTTTTTAAACCGAAAAGAACATGTAGGATACATAGTGTCTTGTACTTTGCTTTTTCACTTCCTGCATCTTTGAGACCTTTCCACTTCTGCACAGAGAGAGCTTCCTCATTCTTTCACCATTGTGTTCCATTCCATGGACGGGCTGTTCTTTATTTAACCAGTCCCCAGGGCGATGGACATTTGGGTTGTTTCCAAGCTTTCGCTGTTGGAAACAGCCTATAGCAGACAGCCTGCTGCGGGCCTTGTACTGCACTGTGCAAAGGTGCCCGGGAGACTCCAAAGGGGGAGCTGGGTGGTGCCAACTCAGCCCCTGCTGGCATTTACAGGTTCACGCTTGGACCCCCTGCGGAGAAATGCCCACTGCCCCGCAGACCACAACAGACGTGGAAGTTGTCTTGTGGGGATGGATGGGAGGCTTTTGCCAATCGTAGGTGAGAAGGTGTCTTTCAGGATCATTCTGTATTTTTCTTACAAGGAGGTAGAGCATTTTTTCATAGGAGTAAGCCATTTTACATTAATGATATTTTTTTCCTCTGTGGAGGGTCCGTTCATATCCTGTGCCCTGTTTGCCTTTGAGTCCGTGGTCTTGCCCACCAAGCTGTGGGAGCCGGTTATACTGTAGCAGCTCTTCGCAGCTGAGAAGAGTTACAGTATGAGAAGAGTTACAGTATGAGAAGAGTTACAGTATGAGAAGAGTTACAGTATGCGTTTCTTAGGACTTGACTTCGGGTGTTTTTGCCTTGGAGAAGGGATTCCCCTTTTGGAGGTGAGGAAGCCATTTTTATTTTAATGGCTTGCGGATTTGAAGTCAGATAACAACGGTGCCTACCCCAAAGTTAAAAGGCACCTCTCCCTTCTTCTGACATTGCATTATTTTTTGTAGATGTTGGTTGTTTTATTTTTTATTAAATGCTAAGTAAATATGAAGGAAGACGTATAGAATGTGTACATGGTGTCAGTCACCCCCCCCACCACACAGTCGGACCTGCCTGTCACCTTGTGAAGACCCCTGGGCCCCCACTGTGCCCTGTCCTCTGCTGTCCCCTCACAGAGGTAGCTGCTGGTGACGTTTTAAATCGTTCTCTTTTGTGAAAGACGTCTTACACGTTTATGTCCCTGAACTACGTGCCTTCTGGTGTTGCACGTTTTGGAATTGAGACAGACAGAAATGTGCTTGCATTCTTGTCTCTTTCTCTTTTTAAAAAACCCGAGGTGGAATTTACACAACACGAAATCAACCATTTTTAAAGTTTGCAATTCAGTGCCATTTAGTACATTCCCAGCGCTGTGCAAACAGCCATTTGAACCTGGTCCCCAAACATTTTTGTCGCCCCAAAGAAAACCTTGTGCCTATTAAACAGGCAGACCCTCTGTCACCCCAGCCCCCGCCCCCCACCAGCCTGCTCTTTCTCTGCGGGTTGACCTCTTCTGCACATTTGTGCAGTGAAACCATGCAATGTTGTGTCCTGCTGTGTCTGACTCACTCACTTAGCATAATGTTTTTAAGGTTCATTGGTGTTGTGGCTGAAAGTATTAGTGCTTCATTCCTCTTCATGACTGAGTAATGTTCCACTACATGGGTAGAGAGTTTTTATACTTACACATCCATTGACAGACTTTTGGGTCATCGTCCCCCTTTTGCTCTTGTGAATGGTGATTCACAGCATTAAGGGGGGGGCCACCTAGGTGCTGTGTGCAGCTCTCGTCCACCCCTTGTCACTGCATCCCTCTGTGTGACTGCATCACCATTCAGCCGCTGCCTGTCGTTGACACCTGGGGCGTCATCGGTGTGTCCGCTTTTGCCGTGTCCTCCTGGGGCTCCCGTTTCTGAAGAGCATGTCCTTGGGGGTTGGCTGGCTTGGTCCTGTGTGTCTAATTTAACTAGATAAGTGCCGACCTGCCATCCAGGGTGGCTGTGCCAACTCACGCCCCACCTTTATTTAAGATACAACCTTGTGGTCTGCGCGGGCTTCTCCCGGTGCTGGGCGTGGGCCGCAGGGACCTTCCTCAGACGGCCAGCCAGTGGTCGCCGGGACATCGGGTGCACAGCCCCACCCTTTCCCCAATTTGAGGTGCCGGCCGCATCCTCATCTACCTTCTCCCAGTGGCCGTGTCCCCAGACTTGTGGTTTGTCTGTGTGGGGGCTGAGTCCGACTGTTTCAGTTCTAGCAGCTCCGGTCACGGCGGCCTGAGAGGGGACGGCCTGTCAGCCAAGCCCCTAGCCCTCCGACTCGGCTGTCCTAGCTAAGGGAACTGAGGCACGGTGCCGTCGGGTTTGATTTTCTGTGTCTGAGCCTCGCCCCGCCCCATTCTCTCCTCTGCAGCCTGGTACCCCACTGGCCTCGCATCTCTCCAGCTCGGTGGCCCCCACCCTCCAGGAAGAGTTCCCCTTAGGTGGTCTGTGAGCCTTTCGTAGCCCCTCCCGTCCCCCCTTGAATCTGGTGTTTACGCTGCGGCAGTCTGTGCTTCTCCGACTCACTGCTCATTCCTCACCTCCTTCCCCTTGCACGGGTTGCGGTCATGCTCGCCCCTTGCCCAAGCTGGGGGGTGCCCCTCTGTGCCCCACAGTGCCCTGAGAGCCGCCGCCCAGCTGAGGGACCCTGACCCTTGTTTCCCCCACCCCTGGCAGGTGCCAACATTGCTTCTGGTGAAGAAGTTGCCATCAAACTCGAATGTGTGAAAACGAAGCATCCCCAGCTGCACATTGAGAGCAAGTTCTACAAGATGATGCAGGGAGGAGGTGAGGGCCCTGAGAGGCCAGCCGGGTGGGGTGGGGAGCAGAACGACGGGTACGGGACGAGGCTCTGGCGGCTGGTCTGGGGCGGGAAGGGCCTCCCCTGACAGCCCCTCGTCCCGGCCCACAGTGGGAATCCCGTCCATCAAGTGGTGCGGGGCCGAGGGCGACTACAACGTCATGGTCATGGAGCTGCTGGGGCCCAGCCTCGAGGACCTCTTCAACTTCTGCTCCCGCAAGTTCAGCCTCAAGACGGTGCTGCTGCTGGCTGACCAGATGGTGAGCACCCCGGCCAGGCTCCTCGTTTCCCTCCAGCCTCTGCTCCTCCATTGTGCCCCTGGCCACGGGTGGGGGGGTGCCTGCCCTGCCTCCTGCCTCTGGTGGACGCTGGAGCAGGAGGCAGCACCAGGGACATAAAACAGCCCTGGTTCCTGGACCCGGGGCCTTCACCACAGGCTGTGAGATTGGAGGGGCTCGGTGCCGACCCCCAGGCCCAGCTTCAGGCCTGCTGAGTTCAGGAGTAGGTAGGGCCTGGGGCTCTGCCCTCTGGTGACGTGAAACCCACGATGGCACAGACCCAGGTCCCGTCCCAGGTTGGGGACTGTAGGTGAGCCCAGGCTCTCCAAGCCTCAGTCAGCTCTGGAGAGCCTGCCCTTCGCCGGGTTGCTCTGGGGTCCCGCATGGTGCCTGGTCCAGAGCAGGCGCCCACTGACCAGCCGTCCTTAGTTCCTAAAACCCTTTATAAACTCAACGGAGGAGAACCTTGAAAACATGCAAGAGCATAGACCTCAGGGCCCGAAATGGTCCGTGGGGGTCTTGTGGCACAGGGGTGTGCGTCTGTGGCCGGCCTGTAGGAAGTACCGCCGTCCTGCGGTTTTAAGCCGAACAGGTGTGTGTGCAGCAGAGGGTGGTCAGCTTCTCTTAGGACACGAGACTCTGAAGGGCCGGGAAAGACTCCGCCACGCCGAACGGAGCCTGGGACCTGCAGAAGGCGGAGGCCCAGTCGGCCTGACCTGCCAGAGGACAGATCGCATGCATATGTGTTAATTCAGGGGCGGGGGTTTGTCGTGTTTAACAAACTGTTCAAAGAAGGGCCCGAGTGTGTGCCTGACTGGGGTGGACTTCGGAAGCCAGGGGGTAAAACCTGGCCTTCGTGCTTCATCTCCATCACCCTTGCCCAGTGGAGGCTTTGCTGGTGCTCCTCTCCTTTCCTTCCCTTTAATCCGGTTGCCAGAGCAACCTCCGAAATGCCTCTCTGACTCCGGCTCCCCAAGCCTTGGGAGGGTGTGCAGCCAGGCAGCAGAGAACTTCCGGAAGGGCCTGGATGTCTCTTGGGCTTCGTTTCTAGTCGGCCATTGGCATTTCTAATACCTTACTGTCTTTCTGACTCACAGCAGACTTAGTGAACTCCTCCTTCAGAGTCCCCCCAATGACACTTCCTCCAAGGAGCCTTCCCTGACCTGCCCCTTGAAATCATCTTACACGGTGGCAGACATCTTCCTCCCCCTGCCCAGGGCAAGGACCCCGTATGTGGTTTCCATTCCGACAGCCCCAGCCCCAGCCCCGCCCTCCAGGGCCTGGCCCGGGACACTCGGTGGTGGCCCTTCTAGGCCACCATTGCCCCTAGAACGACTGCCCAGTGACTCTCGATCCGCTCTCCTCCCCCAGATCAGCCGCATCGAGTACATCCACTCCAAGAACTTCATACACCGGGACGTCAAGCCCGACAACTTCCTCATGGGCCTGGGGAAGAAGGGCAACCTGGTCTACATCATCGACTTCGGCCTGGCCAAGAAGTACCGGGACGCCCGCACCCACCAGCACATCCCCTACCGGGAAAACAAGAACCTGACCGGCACCGCGCGCTACGCCTCCATCAACACCCACCTGGGCATCGGTGAGTGAGTGGGGCCCGGATGGCCTCCGACTCGCCATGGGGTCAGGTCTCCCCTGTTCAGAGAAGAGCTGCCGTGTGGGGAGCATGTGTGCCTGCTCGACTTGCCCGCAGCGGCCGTGGAGGGCGGGCGAGGAGGCTTCCCCACTTCTCTGGGGTGGGAAACGCAGGTCCTGTGTAAGGTCCTGTGGCTCAGCAAGGGCCAAGGCCGGATCTGAGCCCAGCCCTCCTGCCTGTCACAGCTTATGCCCTGTCCCCAAGGGGGGCCAGGCGAGGAGGCACCTGGGTACCTACTGCATTGGTGTGGCACGGACGGGTCCTGGCCCCCGAGGAACTAGGCCCGGAGGGGGGTGGGAAAGCCCAGCCACAGGTCCCGCCTCTGCAGACAGAGCGGTAGAGGGCCTGGGTGTCGCGGGGGTGCAGCAGGCCAGCCTGCGGCAGTGCTGGGCACACAGGGCTGCTGTCCCCTCAGTCACGGAGCAGGCCAGGAGCCCCAGTGCACTCTGGCCCTCACCCTGTCCCTCCGTGCAGAACAAAGCCGTCGAGATGACCTGGAGAGCCTGGGCTATGTGCTCATGTACTTCAACTTGGGCTCCCTGCCCTGGCAGGGCCTCAAAGCAGCCACCAAACGCCAGAAGTACGAGCGAATCAGTGAGAAGAAGATGTCGACACCCATCGAGGTTCTCTGCAAAGGCTACCCCTGTGAGTAGCCCGGGGGAGGAGACTGGCCCGGGGACCACCGAGGTCCTGCTGAGGGAAAGATGAGGCCACACAGAGCCCCTTTCAGGGGCCCCTTGCCCCCGACACCAGATCATTCACCTCGGTCTCTCTGTCGAGGCTCGGGCCTCGCGGGGGGCCTGGCTGCCACACACTCAGCGTCCCCCAACCCACGCTCCTGCCCATCTCTCAGGGCTGAGGGTTAGGAGAAAGCAGTCCTCCCTCCTCAGGCCCCTTTGCTCTCTCTCACGGAGCACTTCTGACACTGGGTCACCAAAGGAGTGGGGTCTCCCCCACCGAGCAGTTCTCTGCAGCACCCACTGGGTGTCCTGCCGCTTAGCCCACTTTGGACACTGTCTCCCTGAGATGGTGTCAGATCCCACAGGATGAAGGCCGGGCCCTCACAGCTGTCCCCCCCCCCCACTTTTCTGACACCAGTTGCAAGCCCCCCTGTGCCTCTAACCGACTGGCCAGGACTCTGAGGTTCCCTCCCTGAGTTCAGTTAATTCGCCAGAGTAGCGCACAACTTGGGAAACATGTGCACTCTTTATTAAAGAGTGTGACAAAGGGTACGGACACATGACCGGATGGCGAGACTCGAGACACACGGGGAGAGACCCGGGCGGGCCCCGAGTCCAGGAGCTTCTGTCCCCAGGGAGCCTGGGAGTGTCACCCTCCTGGTGGGGACGTGTCCCCGGATCTTCCGACCCCAGGGAGGCTTATTATTGTGCCGCCACGATTCATTCTTAACTCCATTTCTAGCTCCCCTTCTCTCTAGAGAAGTTGGGGGTGGGGAGGGGCTGAAAATGCCAAGCTTCTAATCATGGCTTGGTCTTTCTGAGGACCAGCCCCACCAGGAGCCCACCCGGAGTCACCTCATTAGAATAAGAGTTGTTCCGAACACGCTCTGAGCACTTAGAATTCACAAGGTGTGGGGAGCCCCGCGTCAGGGGTGGGGCCAGAGACCCAAGAGCAGAACAAGGGATGTTCTTACCACGTGGGAAACGACAAGCATTTGAGGAGCTCAGGGCGGGGCCGATCCATCTGTTTGCTGTTACCTTTCCAAGGCCCCCCCCTGCCCCTACCCCTGATTTTCAGGGGAGGACATGGAGGTCCTTCCTTCTGTGGCTTAGGGCCCATTGAGAGTTCCCATCAGGCTCTGGAGGGGGCTGCTGCCCGCTGTGCTCGGGTCTCCAGTCCTGTCCCTGCGAGGCTCTGTGCGCAGGCCTGTGCGCAGGCCCGTCGGGGAGCCGCACCCAGCGGGAGGGCCCCTCCTAGACTGACAGTGTCTGCAGGGACAGCAGGAGGGCGGACAGCTGCCGGCTGCCAGGCCCGGGAGCATGGTCCTCACGGTGGCCATTCTGTCCCCGTCACCCCCACCAGCCGAGTTCTCCACATACCTCAACTTCTGCCGCTCCCTGCGCTTCGACGACAAGCCCGACTACTCGTACCTGCGCCAGCTCTTCCGCAATCTCTTCCACCGGCAGGGCTTCTCCTACGACTACGTCTTTGACTGGAATATGCTCAAATTCGTGAGTCGCCCGGAGGCTGAGGCGGGTTTGGGGGACTGGACAGGGAAGGCCAAAGTGGCCCGGTGGGGGGCGGGGCTCCCCCGAGCCGGGAGCTATGAGCTGGACTGTGCCGGGGACTTCACTGGGGCCCCAGAGCCCCCTCGCGTCCCACGTTCCTGCCTCATCGACACCAACAGCCTGTGCCACTGTGGTCAGCAGGGCCCAGGCCGGGCCCTGCCCCCTGCCAGACTCAGGAGGGCCTGGCTGGGCCTCCGGTCCCTCCTCGGTGCGCGTGGCTGGGCGCGGATGGTGCTGGCGGGCCCCCCCACTACTGTCCTCATTGTCGCCTACACCGTCCTGCTCTTGTTGTTCTGCACGACCCAGGCAGCTGCCTTCACGGTGGCCCCTCTGGCCAGCCTAGACCCATTCCACGTGGTTTCTCTCTTCCTGCTCACGGGATCCTGGGCCTTGCTAGGTGGCTGCTCTGTCTCCCTCTTTTAAGAGTGTTGGGGGTGGGGTGGGGAGAAGCGGTCATCAGCCGTGCCTGGAGCTCTGGACTCTCGCATCGTATGACCTGTTTTTGCATCTCTTCTGGAAAAGGGGGCTTCCTCGAGCCAGGCTCGGCCCCGTGACAGCGAAGCTATCGCCCCGCCCCGCCCCCGGCCCTGTCCCCCTGCTGGGCCTGCGTACTCACCCACATACTGGTAAGGACCCTCCGAGGCCCAGCATTTCCAAGATTCACCGTTTGGCCGGGTGAGCACAGGAGGCTGAGCCTCTGTTGTGCCTTCTCTGTCCCTTCCAGGTGCCCGGCACCCCTGGGCACCCAGGGCCCTGCAGATGGGCTGGTGGAGGAGCGGCCCCCCCAAAACTACTGGCCTATGGTTTGGACTCCAGGGCCCCAGTTCTGATAACACCAGGCGCGCCTGAGCCCATCGGGGCCAGGACTGAGGAGGGGTTTGTTCCTTGGCACAGTGGGGTCAGTGGAGAGGGCACGGCAGACAAGGCCCGGCCAAGAGATCCTTGGGGATGCAGTTGGCTCCCCGATGGTCAGAGCCTGAAGGAGAGATGGCGTTCACCGCACCAGAGGGGCCTGGGGTTGGGGGCCGGCAGCGGCGTCAGCCAGGCCCGGTCGGCGGCCTCTGTGTTAAGCCTGCACTCATTAAACGCCCCACCCGCATCTCACCTCGTCCCGGCTCTTTCATCGCGGTGCCCTCGGTCTACAGTTCCGGCTGCTGGGGGCCTCGCGCCCCTCTTCTCTGGCCCCAGACAGTGGCCCTGTGCGAGTCCCCTCAGGAGTGGGACAGAAGTCGGGCAGAGATTGGGGCTTCCACAGCCCAAAGGACCTCGTGGGCGGGAGGGCCTTGGAGATGGGCACGGGCGCCCCTCACCCAGACCTTCCGGCTGGGAGTGCGGCAAGGGCCCAGGGCCAGCTCTCCTTGCACAGGGCGCTGCTGGGGAGTTGGGGCGCGGGCGCTCACTCATTGCGCAGGACATTCCAGAGTCCAGTTCTGGGACAGGCTTGGCCCGTGTCATTCAGTGTGGTAGCCCCTGTCTCCACGTGGCTACATGTTGATTAATTAAAAATCAGAGCTGAAAAATGTCATGTGTCAGTTGCATTTGCTACATTTCAAGTTCTCAGGAGCCACCAGTGGCCAGCCAGTGGCTGCCGTGTCTGGCGAGGCAGGCATGAACATGCCCGTCACCGCTAAATTCCGTGGGACAGAGCCACCAGGAGGGCTCCTCACAGAGCCCCTCACGGGACCGTCAGTGACAAGAGTTCATCTGGAGCACGGCCAGGAGCAGTCTCCTCACCCACTACTGCCTCTGGAGTTGGGCCGAGCAGACGCTGCCGGCTTTTCCCCTGCACTCATCGCTGATCTCCGGGTCGAAGGCCATCCGCTGACCGAACGAGGGGCACCTGTAAACCCATCACCACGGGGGGAGCTCAGCCACCTCCGGTCACCCTCTGGCAGGAACACCTGCGACATGCGATGGGGACCCGCCATTCCTTTCGCCTGGAGGCCAGGACCCTCTCACACGGGCACCACTGCAGGAAGCCTTCTCGAGCTCCCAGCGGAGTGGACGCCATGCAGGGCACCGCGGCCTGGGCCGTTCTGCCCGAAGGATCCCATCCTTGACTGAGAGCTTCCCTCCTCGGAGCAGTTGCCCCGGAGCACTCCGCGTCGGGCCTGGAGTCCCCGATACTGGGAGCCTGGGCTGCTGGCCGGTTCAGCCCCTGCCCCGAGGCCCGGCTGGCTGGCCAGGGGGAGACGACGCACACCGCACGGGTGGTGGTGACTCTGCTGTTTGCCCTGTGTGGGCTTGTGGGCAAGTAAAAGCCAGGAGACCTGCCTGCTGCGTGCTCCTCGAGGCGTCACTTGGGTCAGTTGGCAACGTGGAAAGGAGTTCGCCTTCTGCCTTGGGGCCGGCCTTGGCCTGAGCCCGCGGGGTCACAAAGGGCAGGGGCTGTGCACTTGGAGTGAGTCACTTCATGTCCCCACCCAGGAAATGAGTTCTTGCCTGCTGGCAGGACAGTTCACGAGGGGGTGCTCCAGCTCCTATCGCCCAGGCTTCGCTGTGGTTCTGGCCGAGCCGCTTGCTCTGGCGTCCGGAACTGAGTGGCTGGGGGTGCAGGGAGTGGCCTGAGGTCCGGAGGTGAAGCCTGGGTGGTTCCGGGCCCGCCTCTCTGGACAGGCTTGGGAGTGGGAGGACTGGGGGTGTTCGTTTCTAGAATGTTCTGCTAAATCCTCAGGAGTTGCAGAGAGCAGAGCAGGACTGGGTGGCAAAGGCCTGAGTTCACACTCAAGTTCTGTCCTCAGCTGTGTGGCCACACGATCCCAGGGAGGGCATGAGGCCTCTCTGGACCTCAGTTCCTCAGTTGGCCTGGCCACCCCCACTGCCCCAAGACAGCAGGGCCTCACCGGCCAGGTCCCTAGGAGACACACGGGGTTGCAGGAGCCGCACCCGTGGCCCGTGAGCAGGCCCCAACTCAGCACGCAGCTCTCTCCTCCACAGATGCGGCCCCCCTCACGCCAGCCCCCCGCCCTTCCCTGTGGACGACCCCGGGACCAGCTAGGTAACGCGGCCAGGCACTGTCCCCACACCGTGCTCCTCTCTCTGGGTCTTGCCCCTTTCCTCCTGCACTGGGGTGGCAGAGGCCGAGTGGCAGGCCCCTGGGGGCTCACGCTCCCCTTTTTGCCCCAGCCTGCCTGCCCGGTGTCGTTTTCCTCTCTGGGGCTTCTAGCCCAGTCCTTCTCCAGCTCCTCTGAGCCCCCGTGCCAAGGTGGGCAGCTTCTGTGTGGTGCTGTCCCCACAGTGCCTGCCAGGAGCCATTGCCAGGGGTGGGGCAGACAGCCTTCCAAAAAGACCCCTTCACTGGGAGGCCTGGTTGAAGCCCTGGCCCGGCCTAGGCTGGCCTCGTAACTCTCCCTGGGCCTCCGAACACCTGCCCTGCTCCGCTGGGCAACCTGGAGGAGCAGGGCCTTTCTGTGCACAGAACCGCCAGGCTGGGACAGCCCAGGAGTACCCTGGGCCATCCTGAGGGCACTAGCCCTCCCAGCCCTGGCTGGCCACAGGAGACCAGGACAGTGACCTGCCTCCACCTCCCAAGCCCAGCTTTCTCCTTCCTCTGGGCAGTTTGTGGTTCGCTCTCTCCCTGCCGTGTGATCGTGGGTCCTTCCCAGGCCTCTCGGGCTGTCTGCTCTGTGGGAAGGAGGTCGGACCAGAGGGTTTCTGCCGCGCCTCTTCTCCAATGTGCCCACCTGGCCTCCCCCACCCTTGTGCCGCCCTGCGGGGATGCCGGGCCCCAAAGCACCGTGGCCTTGCCCGGCTGACCAGGCCTCACCTTGCTCCCCCACAGGGCGCAGCACGCAATCCAGAGGACGTGGACCGGGAGCGGCGAGAGCACGAGCGCGAGGAGAGGATGGGGCAGCTCCGGGGGTCTGCAACCCGGGCCCTGCCCCCTGGCCCACCCACGGGGGCCCCTGCCAACCGGCTCCGCAGTGCCGCCGAGCCTGTGGCTTCTACCCCAGCCTCCCGCATCCAGCAAGCTGGTGAGCAGGGACCTTGGGCAGTGGGCGGGAGGCCGGGGAGGCCAGGGCGGCCAGGGCGGCCAAGGCCCTAGACACGGAGGGTGACTGGGCTGGCCCTGCCTCGCCCTCCAGGCAATACCTCTCCCAGAGCGATCTCCCGGGTGGACAGGGAGAGGAAGGTGAGCATGAGGCTGCACAGGGGCGCTCCTGCCAATGTTTCGTCCTCCGACCTCACCGGGCGGCAAGAGGTCTCCCGGATTTCAGCATCACAGGTGAGCCGCCCTCACCCCCGCCCTCCTGTGCCTCACCGCTGAGCCAGGGACCCCCGGGCACGGAGTCAGGCTTGGTGGTTCTGTCCCCCACCCCAAGTTGAGCAGGGACTTGGCCTCACTTAATCCAACCAGGTCTGATTAGCCCCACGGAGCAAAGTCAGAAGTAACTTGCCCCAGCATGCGGTAGCACTGGGGTCCAGTGGCCGCTGCCTGGAGCCCAGCCCTTAGGAAGCCTCTGCAAGCCCTGGCTAGCAGAGGACTCGGGGCTGGGCGGGCCTGTCGGTGGCCCTCAGACGCAGTGTTGGACCAGGAAAGGTGCGAAGGGGGCGTCCTGGCAGGGGTGGGCAGAGCCGCCTGCCTGCGGCGGAGAAGCTTCAGCAGGACAGGCCAGGAGCAGCGTGTGCGGCGGCCAGGCCACCCTCCTGTCCTGAGTGGCCCGGAGCCGCTGCTTTGCCTCTCTAAGCAGTGTTCTCTTCCACAAAGCAGCCAGGTCCTAGGGGCACAGAGACCACACACCCCTTCCGTTGGCTCCAGGGCCTTGGTGGGGGGTGGAGTTCCACAGTGGGGTGAGACCTGGCCCGTGGCCAGGGCCAGCAGCTGAGCCCCGCCTCCCCTCCCCCCTCGCAGACAAGCGTGCCATTTGACCATCTCGGGAAGTGAGGAGCCACCGCCTGGACCAGTGTTTGCTTAGGTGAGTCGATGCTGCTGCAGGTGCAGCTCCGAAAGGAGACCGGTGCTCGCGGAGGTGCCCGGAGAGTCGCCAATGGTATCAGAGACCCCGGAACCGAGGGCCTTCCAAGGGGATTGAAACTTCAGAGGCTGCCTCTGAGCAGGCCTGAGCCGCAAGTGTCTGCTTTGGCCAGAATCCACTTCGTCCTCTGGCCAGCCAGCCTCCACTCCCGCTTTGCCTTCCCGTGTTCCAGGGAGTAGGTTCCCGACAGAGGCTGAGCCTGGGGGCCAGTACCCTGACCTCCCCGGGGCCTTAGACTGGCCTCGGCTGCTGGATGCCGGGCTGGTAAACTGTTAATCATCAAAGAGCACTTAGAACAGGAGCCCGTGCTGATATCTGCCTTCAAGGAGGGCCCGTGGCCTCCACACGCCCAGGAGAGGCCTTCTGGCCAGCCTGAGGCTCTCAGAACGTCCATGGCTGCGTGAGGCCTCGAGGTGGGGGTAGCAGCTCTCCGCTCTGGTCTGGCTTGGGCAAGGGGAGGTGGCAGGGGTTCTTTAGGGGGATGTCAGGGGAGGTCTGAGCTCCCTGGGGACGTGACATGACACCCTTGGAAACTCATTGCACTGCTGGAGCCTGGATGCCCATCCGGGGCAGACATTTGGCGGGGTGGTTGCCGGCCAGGAGGGCGGAGGAGGGAGAGAGACTGCGCCCTTTCTCTCTCGCCCTGGAGGGGGACCAGGCCCAAAGACTTGGGGAGAAGACGGCAGGAGCTGAAGGGGGTCTGGCAGGCGGCCGGCTGGAAGCAGACAAGCCTCTAACCTGTCTTCTTTCTCTCTCTCGTTTTTAGTGTCTTCACTGTATTTTCTTTTTTAAAAAAACAACCAAAAGATGGGGGGGGAACCACTCAAAAGAACATAGAAGAAAAAAAAAACCCCAGCACAAGAGCGACGATGGATTTTGTTTCTTTTCTTTTTTCTTTTTTTGGCCGATGGCAAGAAGATGAGACACCGTCAGCACAGAGGATTCTTGTCCCTTCGACTTACCCGCTGCCGTCAGGCCACCAGAGGCTCCTCAGACACTGGGCTCCTGTGCCAGATGCCAGGGGGCCCTGCCCCAGCTGACCGGCTGGGGAGCGACTCCAACAGCTGGGCTGGGACGGGCACGGCCTTGAGCCCCTTCCCAGCCCTCAGGGGGCGGCCTGAGAGGCCCAGGAGTGGTTCGATCATTTGGTCGGTGGGGCGCAGGTCCCACCAGGCACTCTGGAGCTTCAGAACCGCGGGAGACAAGCACAGCTCCCACCCCCTGAGGTGGTGGCAGCTTTCTGTGTGGTTTTGTTCCACTGTCCCCCTGAGTGTTTGGGTCTTTCTTTGCCTGTCCCCAGGGACTCAAGTAGTGGGTGGCAAGGCGGTAGGGGCCGAGACCCCTTATGTGTGTGTGCGCGTGTATGATGTGACCTGTATCTCCCAGGCCAGCAGGGGCCCGCCCCACCTGCCAGGCCAGGTTTCTGTTCTCCTCCCCCAAACAAGGACACGGGTGCCTAGCAACCTCTGTGTCCCCCAGGAAGGGCACCAGAGCACCCTTGCCACCACCAGCCCCTCAGCCTGTCATCATCCTGTGGCAGCCCAGTCCCCCTTTCCTGGAGACCTTCGAGAAAGCATCTGGCTCCTAGGTTACAAATGAATTAATTCCCTGACTCTGACCCTCCCCGGGGCCCCGCCTCTCCCACACCGGCCTCTGGGAGGAGGAGCCTGGGGAGAGGCGGGGCCTGGGATCCGCCCATCCCTCCTAGTTAACGCCCCTTCTTGTTTTTGTTTGTTTCCCCCATGTGTGTATTTCCTAATTTATTCACCTCCGTTTCCCCTTTTTTCTTTTTCTTTTTTTTTTAATTAAAGAGCAAAGCTTTTTATAACTTTGTAATTTAAAAAACTGAAAAAAAATACTGAAGAACTTTGGGGGGAATTTTGTACTTTTTTCCTGTGTAAATATTGGACTTTTTTGAGCTTTATTGTGGTTGTTAATTTGAAGTAATAAAGTAGAAAAGCGTAAAGGACCGGCAGCCCTCGGTTCACCTCTCTGCCCTGGGGGCATCTCCCCAGCAGGCGGGAGAGAGCGGGCTGGGGCTAAACCCGCGCTTCAGAAACTGCACACAAACCATCTGGGGGCAGGTTCTGACCCCGGAGGGCCGGGCTGGGGCCTGAGAGTCTGCACCCCAGCAGGCTCTGGGCGGTGCTCAAGGCCCAGGACCACACAGAATTAGGAAGGTTCAAGATGGTCTTCACAACATTATCTTGTCCACACAAGAACTCTTGTTAGGTCCCTTCATCTCTCTGCCTTCAGGGGGGAAACAGTCAGTGGTGAAATAAGGTCACACAGCTCTGACGGCAGAACCGGGATGTGAACCCCCTCACTGACCAAGGATCCCCACAAGCGAGGGCACTGGAGTTGGTTTCAGTGGTGCCCTTTCCACAGGTGACCTTGGCAGGTGACCTTGGGTGGCTCCTTCATCCAAGCCTTGACACCGGGGCAGCCCTTTACCTGGCGGTCTCTGTGAGGTTGTGGTGGGCACTCTGAAGCCCTGGGCATCGCTCAGAATCCCTACACTTCAGGTCCTTTCCAGTGCTGGCATTTGAAGACCCCGTGACCCCACAGCCTGGCTCAGCCTCATGAAGGGTCTCTTGTCCAGCCTCCAGGTGAGGTTTAGGCAAAGGCAGGTGCTCATTCACAGCCTTAAGGGGAAAGGTGTGTTAAGCCAGGAAGTGCCCTAGGACCCCAAGTTGAAGGCTGTGCACCCTTCCTGGGGTGGGGCAACGATGGTAGGAGTTCCGTCCCAAACCCCTCCAGGCTGCTGGGCCACCCCGGCCCCCAGGACCTCTAGTTGGACATCCGACATGAAACACTCAAGTGTGAAACTACCAACTCTTTTTCCCTTAGAATGTATCTCACTAAGGATGTGCCATCAGAGTATAGTACCCAGAAGTAATTTGAAATTCTCTCCTCTATGTGGCCTCTATTGATTTCAGTGAGTTCATGTGTCCGCCCCACCAGCCCCCAGCCCTGCCCGCTTGTTGGGTTAATTTCAATGTTTGGAGAGTCCGTGTATGAAAATGAAGCTATAAGAAAAGTTAGAATCATGCCCTGGCTGGTGTAGCTCAGTGGATTGAGCACGGGCCTGTGAAGCAAAGGGTCACTGGTTTGATTCCCAGTCAGGGCACATGCCTGGGTTGCAGGCCAGGTCCCCAGTAGGGGACACGTGAGAGGCAAACACACATTGATGTTTCTCTTCCACTCTTTCTCCTTCCCTTCCCCTCGCTCTGAAAATAAATAAATAAAACATTTTTTTAAAAAGTTAGAATCACTAGCTCTGGCCAGTGAGCCTCAGTTGATTGGAGTGAGTCGCAGGTTCGATTCCTGGTCGGGGCACATGCCTAGGTTGTGGGTTGGGGTGTGTGCGGAAGGCAGCCGTCAGTTTCTCTTCCTCAGTAAATGAGCCAAATGATCACCAGGAAGTTTTGCCCGGACTGGAGGGGCAAACATGCCTCTCAGTGAGTCATTTTCATTCATGCAACAAGCATTGGTTGGGCTCGTGTGGGTGCCAGGGGAGCCAGGCGCTGGGCTGAGGGGGGGCAGGCTGCAGGGGTGAGTAGTGGGGAGCGCAGGGTTGGAGGCCATAGGGCCAGCTCGGCCCCTCCGTGACCTTGGGCGTTGTCTAGGTCTCAGTTTTCTCCTCTGTGCGGTGGGGTCATACCCGCTGCAGAGGGCAGTAGTCTGAGTTCATTCAGAGCCCACCGTGCCGGACCTGCCCCCAAGCCTGTGCTCACAGAAATCCCGAGGCGGGGGGGTTGTGATGCCCATTTTACACACAGGAACACTGAGGCACGGGGAGGACCGTCTGGCTCCACAGCCCACGGAGTGCTCAACAGTGGTAACCACACATTTCTTTAAAAAAATTTTTTTCCATCCCTGGCTGGTGTGTGGCTCAGTGAATTGAGCACCAGCCTGTGAACCATACATGGGGTTGCAGGTTCGATTCCGATTCAGGGCACATGCCTGGGTTGCAGGCCAGGTCCCCAGTTGGGGGTGCGTGAGAGGCAACCAACAAATGTTTTTCTCCCTCCCTTCCCCTCTCTCTAAAAATTAAGGAAAACTTTGAAAAATTTTTCAGTTCCAGTTAACGTTCAGTACTATATAGTTTCAGGTGTACAGCACAGCGATGAGACCTTTATATAACGTGCCAAGCGACCCCCTGGTGAGTCTGGTAGCTGCCTGGCCCCTTGCGGAGCTGTTACAATGTTGGTGACCGTGTTACCTGTGCTGTATTTTGCATCCCCCTGACCGTTCATTTGTACTTCATCCCTTCACCTTTGGTAACTACTGTTTCAAACACAGGTGTGGTCTTGGCTTCCAGGGGCTCACAGCCTCGTCTGGGGTAAGATTCGGACTAGCGCAGGGCTCATCCCGATCCCAGTGGGAACTGGGGACAGAGATGGGAGGGACTGTGTCTGGTGTCATCGAGAGAGCAGTTTCAAAGATCTTTGACCTGAGCCTTGAAAGGGGACTTGGCCCCGTTGGGGGCAGTCATTCGAGCAGAGGAAAGACTGCCACGTGCAAAGGCCAGAGGTACAAACTACTTTGATACACCCACAGTTTCAAGCACAGGGGGAGGCAGAGATTCACAGCAGCCAGGGTAGAGGAGGCAGAGGCTGGGTGGACTCACCTGGCTTCCATCTTTCAGGACCTGCACTGTGGAAGCCATTGACGGGGGGGAGAGGGCGTGATGGTTGTAGACCTGAAGAGTGTGATGTGGCGACAGTGGGCAGCGAGCCCGGAGGAAGGTAGGGAAAAGGGTTAGAGAGCCAGGGCCCCAACCCGGGCAGGGGCATCCAGAGGGGAGGGTGATCGAACTGCTTCAGAACACATTCTGTTCTTAGCCACCTGAGAGAGAAGGAGGAGTGCCGGGGCTCTGTGGTTACCAGGCGGACACCTGGGTGCATCACAGAGGGAGCCGTGCATTCTTGGCTCCAAACCCAGGAGGGGTGGCCAGCCAGGGAGGAGCAGGGCTGGGAGGACAGGGCATCAGGAAGGAGGGTATGCGGACCGGCCTCAAACCACAAAGCAGTGGAAAGGGGAAGGGCGGCAAGAAGAGGTCCTGGCTGACCGTTTTTGCCCTAGGACCTTTTCTTCCTAACTGACGTACAATTCAGAGAGATGCACACATCTCGAGCGTCCAGCTCCACACAGCTTTTCACCTGTTTCTGTGGGTCTGTACAGTCGCCACCTGACAGAGGCAGGGGCAGCCGTCAGGTGTCCTTTGTCCCTTCCTAGGCAGTACTGCCACCCTCACCCCACACAAGACACCACTCTTCTAAATTCTCCCAGCAGGTGACCTCTTGACTGTGGGGGAGCTTGGAGCAGGAAGTGAGAAGGGAGGCCCTGGGTGCAGGAGGGTGACAGGAAGAGGAAGACCTGAGTGGGGAGACATCCCAATTGGGCCTCTGGTAGGAGGGGGCCTGAGAGGCCTGCAAATGTTTGGAGGCCTGAGAGCCCTGGAGGGTGAGTATTAATGATGTGACAGCAGGAGGTTTGGAGGAGGGGGTCAGGGGAGACAGGGAGAACTCGGTCTGGGACCCGGGGTGGGGCTGAGCTTCTTCAGAACTCAGTTCAGTTCTCCCATGCTTATCACCTGCAAAAAATACAAGTCCCTCATGTCGCTGGGCTGCTCCCTCTTAGGTGGTGGCATCCGCTCCCCATTCCTGCCTGCACTTTGAGGTCCCACCAGCAGCCCCCGGGGGACCCGCTCCAATGGGACTCCTGCAGCACAGCGCCTTCTACTCTGGGGTCTCGCTCCCTTTCCCCTCCCCCACCCACACTCCAGTTCGGGAACAGATATGGAAATAGCAGCGGAGAAGGCTGAGCCCACACATCGCATCACGGGCGGCCCCAGAAACATATCTCTTCGTCTGGAGGGATAGCCACACTGCAAGGTCCGCCTGGCACTGCCCCGTCCTCAGACATCTAAGATTCGCTCCAGCCGCATTTCTCTGGGGCCCCGTTTCCCTGCGGATACGTGGGCTGGTGAGGGAGAAGAGGTCTGGTGTGCAGCCTAAATGTTGCCATGGCGACACAGAGCCACCTTCCGCTGCTCCTCCTCCTCCTCTTCCTCTGGCCTGCTCCCGGCCCCCCCACTTCTCTCACCCTAGCCTTGAGGCGCCAAGAGCACCTTTCTGTCTTCCCAACTGTCCTTGTAAGGTCACATCCCAGAGCCCATTGAGGTGCAGGAGGCTGCGGCCAGTCCAGAGAGGCTGATGGGATGGGAGTGCAGGCCATCCAGCAGCTACGGGGAGGAGGGCAGAGGCTCCCAGCCCTGGGGCACTGCCTCCTTAAGGAAGCCCCCTACCCCCTACCTCACCACAGAGCCCCCGAGACAGTCACTGGTGCTCCTGCAGGCCCTTGGGAGAACCTCAGGTAATTATGCCTCCTCAGGCTTTTCGCCCCAGCAGCTTCAAAGCACCCGATTAAGGTGGGGCCCCTTTGAAGTCATCCCACATCACTGGAGCCCTGAGCTGGGACACCCAGGCCTCTTGCTTCCTGCTCTGCTCCCTTCCTCCCTCCGATTAAAGCCTCTTTGAGAAAACCCTGGCCGCTGCCTCCCCAGCCCCCTGCATGCCCCCGACCAGCCTCCGGCCTCCCTTTTCCCCATGGCAGTGCTCCTGGATAGGTGGTGCAGCTGGGGTTCCCTAAGGAGTCTGAGACGTGTTCCTAATGGCTCCAAGGAAAGTGGCAGCACAGCCTTTTCTCCGGCCCAATTTCATTTGCTTGTTTGTTTCGGCCGGAAGCCGGAAGGGGAGCTCCTCTCCCTCGTTTCAGGTGCAGGTGCATGTGTGTGACAGACAAAACAGAAGCTCCCTCTCACTGTCTCATGCTGTCTTTCACAGCACCCTGCAGACCGTCACCAGCCTGGTCCCTGAGTCACCCACGGGCCTCTGATGCACCTTCCAGAATGAAGGCCATTCTGGCTGCTGATGCACCCTCCAGAATGAAGGCGCTCTGCCTGCTGATGGCCACTGGTGCCCTGAAGGTCACCAGCCCACCAGGAGGGACTGCAAGTGGCCAGAAGCATTTTCTCTTTGTGCCTGATTCTTAGTCCCTGTGGGGGCCGACGTGGGTCCTGGGTTCAAACACCCACGGAGGCCTCCTGTTTGCCAGGCTGCTCAAGGTGTGTTTTCAGCCACGCAATAATGCCTCTCTGTGCTTCAGTTTCCTCATCTGCCTAATGGCAGTCACTCCTGCTTGCTGAAATAATAAAGAGTTTAGTGCATGGCCTGCACATAGTAAACGCTCAATAAATAGTGGTGAAGACGCAGACACTGATGCCAGCCCTGTGTGTCAGCTTCTGGGAACGCAGAGATGATTCAGAGGTCGTCCTTGTTTCCCCTCTGGGCGCGTACCCAGTCTCCTGCCTCCAGGAACTTTCCGAGCTTTAAGTCACACACACACACACCGAGAGACGGAGAGAAATAGTGTCCCAATGACCCTGTGTAAGGCCTCAAATCCAGCTCTGCCTTGTACGTCCTAACGTTCCTAATGCTCTTTGGTTTAACTCAGTTTAAATTGTTTTTTTGTCCGTTGCCACCAAAAGGGTCTAATTCAGGTAGGGAGTTAGTTAGGTCCTCAGTGGTTGTGTTTACAGCTCGGCTGTCGGCTGTGGGCAAGGTCCTGGGCCAACGCGGTTACGCATGTTGACGGGGAACATGGCCGCGTGCCTGGGAGCGTATTGCTGGGAGGCGGTGGAGCTGGGCCTGTGCTCTGCCCCCCGCCCCACACACCGCCTCTTCGGGGCACCTGGCCAGGGGTCCCTCAGCGTCCTCGGGGACAAGAGGGAGACACAAAGGCGGCAGGTAGATGGATCCGGAGAGCCCTGGGCTCTCAGCCACTCATCAGCTGCACAGCTGAAGCCTTGGCTCCTTCCTCTCTGCTCCGCTGCCAGGGGCTAGGAGTGGATTTTGGATGCTGAGAGAATTCGTTTTGGTCCCTGCCCTTGAGAGGCCCTCAGTCTGGTGGGGAGGCAGGGGCATCCGATGAATTATGACGCCCAGTGAGAAAAAGGAAGGGGGACAAGAAATCATGTCTTTAAATATATCTTTAATGTGTTGATTTTTTTTAGAGATGGGTGGAAGAGAGAGACATTGACTAGTTTTTCCACTTACGTATGCACTCATTGGTTGATTTTTTTAAAGAATCTAATATTTCTTTTTTAAAGAAATAAATAAAGTCTCTTTTAAAAAAAGACTTTATTTATATATTTTTAGAGTGGAAGGGAAGGAGAGAGGGGGAAAAAAATCAATGTGTGGTTGCCTCTCATACGCCCCCTACTGGGGACATGGCCTGTTTGTCCCCTTACTGGGGATCGAACCCACAACTTTGGCGTATTGGGGATGACATTCTAACCAACTGAGCAACCTGGCCAGGGCTCTTACAATTTTTAGAGAAAACTATTTTTTTCTTATTTTGTAATGTAAAATAAATTGTCCTTTTTCTTTGGGAAATATTGCATGCTTTTGCAAACATATTTTGAAAAATACAAAGAAATAGGGGGCAGGGGAAGACATTTCCTTATATTTCTTCCCAATTTTTCTTCTAAGTTTTTTTTCGGACAGACTTGAGACCAGGCTGGCATTGCAAATTAATTACTGCTTTTTTAAAACTCAATGCTATTCTTAAGCATTTTCTCATGTCATTTGAAATGTGTGAGCAATATCTACACAACATGCCATTGTGAGGATCTACCATGATTTACTTCAATATTATTGGATAAGTTTCTGATTATTTCCTTTTTTTTAATTAGGAAGAAACGAATCAAAAGAGAATGGGAGTGGTGCGGGTCAAGAAGGAACCAATGACATCTGACTGCTGGAGGTAAAAAAAGGCCTCGGAAGCCAGCGGGCAGGTGTACAGGTAACAGGTGGGCTGCAGAATTGTTTAATTGCCCAGAAGTAAGGAGATCTGGACCAGGGCAGTGGTTTGGCTTGGAGGGGAGAGGGGACCCAGGTGACCCTGGATGGATGTGCAGTTGCACGTTGCATGCTGGGGGTCTGGCTGGGGGGCGGGTGGGAGTTAGAACTTGCTGACCAGCTCTGTCTGTCACTTGGGCCAGGTGACTTTTGTTTTTGAGCCCTCTCTGTCAATACAAGCCTAAAAATACTCACCACCTGCCTCAGCCCCACCAGCCTGGGGTCGCTGTAGGCTGAGACCCAAGAGCCCTCCAAGGATGAGTGGGGCTGAGAAGCTGAATTCAGGTGCAGCTTGGCCTGGCCGCTCTGGAGGGCATGTCAGAGCCCGTCCAGTTTGTAAGCTATGTAAATATGGTGATAGCTGAGCCGAAGACTTTGCCCCGGAGGGGCCCATGTGTAAGGCAGGAGAGCTGGGAAGTCGTAAACAAAAGATTGCCAAGCAACTGATAAGATAAGCCTGGTTAGTGTGTTGGGTTAGCCCTGAGCAGCTGCCCACGGGGGTGTGGGAAGGGATTTTCTACAGGACTCCTTAAAGAGGATCTTCGTGCATGCCTCAAACACTCTCTGAGCACGTTGTCTACACCAGTCCTTGTACTAAATACTGGGCTTATAGCAGGAAACAAACAGGGCAGAAGTCTTAGTCCTCGTAAACCTTATGTTTGAGTAACTGAACTCCAATGGTAAAACAGGCACATTACGTGTTATGGTAGAAATGAAGTGATATGGGGGAAAAATCCAGCTTCTGAGGGATATGGCAGTTTTACTAGGGTCACCAGGGTGGACCTGAAGTAGTGAACATTTGAGCAAATCCCGAAGAAGGTGAGAGAGGGACCATTTGGATATCTGTGGGAACAGCCAATGCAAAGGACTGGAGCTGAGTGTGCTTCGTTTGTTCGAGGAACAATAAGGTCCGTCAGTATGGAGGGAAAGAAGAGGGTCAGACATGCCTGGGTCGGCAGAATGTCAGATCAGGCAAGACTTTGTAGAGACTGGTAGTGCCTTGGGCTTTTACTGAGAGTGAAGTGGGGAGGCAACTGAAGGTTTTGAGCAAAGAAGTGTCACATTCTGACTTAGATGAAAGAATCTTTCCGGCTCCTATACTGACATACACTAGGGCAGGAGGCAGGGATGGAAAAGCGAAACAAGTTAGGAGAGCATTGCGTAACCCTGGTCAGTTTGGGCTGCTATAGCAAAATACCACAGACTGGGTGGCTTATGAACAAGAGAACTTATTTCTCATAGTTCTGGAGGATGGAAGGCTGAGACCAGGGTGCCAGCACGGCTGGGTTCCGTTGAGATTGCTCTTCTGGGTTGCAGACTGCCGACTTCTATTCCCTGTGGATGAAAAAGGGGTCCGATGGAAAGTAACTTCCCAGGGTGATCTGATCATAAATTCCTGCTGGGAGGTCATGGTGGGTAGTCATAATCCAGGCACATAACTTCTCTAGTAAATGGTTTATCTTTGCCGTCAGCAAGCTGTGTCCATTGCTTTTGGTGCATATAGGTTAACACACCTTTGAGATAAGCCTAACCACATTCAAGAGAGCACAGAATCTTCTTAACTCTCCTGTAATCCAACCCCTGCTTTGCTTTCTCCCACCTTCATGTAATCTTCCTTCCAGTCCTCCCTTAATTTCAAATGCATAAAATAAACTGCAAAACAGTCACTCTCCAAAGCATCTGAGGTCTTGCATCTTGGCAATTGTTATCAGTTTTGGCTCAAATACACTCATCAAAATTCTCCACAGGTTTGAACTTTCTTATGTGGACACCTCACGTGGGAGAAAGAAGGCTAGAGGGTTCTCTGGAGTCTATGTTGTAAAGACTCTAATGTCATTCATGAAGTCTCCACCCTTATGACCCAATCACCTCCCAAAGGCCCCACCTCCTAATACCATCACGTTTCGGGTTAGGATATCAGCATTTGAATTTTGCGGGGACCCAAACCTTCAGTCCATAGCAAGAATACTGCAACAATCCTGGGCAGAAACTGGACAATGGTGGTAGGAGTGAAGATGGGGTGGAAGAGGTCAGAGGCTAGACATGTTTTGCAGGTAGAGCCAATAGGATTTCCTGCCCCAGTGTGGAGGAGGGATTTAAAAATAACTCCAGGAGGCTGTGAGGGAGCAGGTCTAACCTGTGTTCGGGAGGAGAGAGGGACCCTGTTGTGGGCATGTTGACTTGAGAAGCCCATTGGACCTCAAGTAGGTGTCGAGTAAACAGTTCGGGGGAGGAGTCTGTGCTGGGGAGAGGAATACCTTTGGGGGTCTTGAGCAGCATCAACGCCAGAAACAGCGATGGGCTAGGGCGGCTTAATGACATCTGAAAAACTTTGCTGGTTAGGCCTCCCAGAGCAAGGTGCGGCAAGAAAAGAATGCTGCTGCTCAGAGTGGGAAGAAAAAGCCTCTTTCTCTGCTTTGCAGTTTCATCCGGCATGATTGCGCACAGCACTTCGGCATGCATTCATTACATAGTTCTACACGCACTCTTCACTCGACAAACAGCCATTATGGTACATTGCTTTACCTTCAGAACAGGCCCAAGTGAAGCACCAGACAGACTGTCTGGAACCGAGCTCGGAGGCCAAAACCCTGTCCGCTCCTGCCCCGCCTCCTCAGAGCTCTGTGGTGGGCAGGGTTAGGAGGTCAGATTGAGGCGGGGAGGGCAACTCTTAGCTGGTTTGTTGGCTAGCGGCAGGAGAACCTGAGTTGACCCCACCAATCCGCAGCGAGCTGGAAGCTGGGGGCGAGGCTCCTTTAAGGCCGCGCGGTGATCTCAGCCCCGCTCCCGCCGCCCCACCCTCCCCGGAGGCGCGCTCAGTGCGCAGGCGCACCGCGGCAGAGCAGCGCTGTGTCCGGGACCCGCGGCCGACCGCGACTAGACTCCGGCTGCGGTGCTGTCCGCCCCACCCGCACAGTCCAGCTGTCGCGCGTCGCTCGCACACGCCACTGCCGCCATGGGCTCCTGAGGTACCGCCCGGTCAGCCTCGGGTCAGAAGTCATGAGGGGGACGACTATGGGCTCCTGGGGGCGGGGGGATGCCCCGGTTTGGAGAGGCCGAGTGCAGGGGTCGCCCCGCGGGTCGCGTGGACCACGGATCCCCGGAGGGGAAGGGACGAAGGGGCCCGGCCTGCCTGAGGAGGGAGGGGATGGCCGCCGCCCTGCCCGTCCCGACCTACGTTCCCTATCCTCCCTGCCGGGTCGCGGGGCCGCCCGTGGGTGTGCCCTGGCCCCCTCCTCGCCAACGTGGCGGCGCCGGCGTCTGGAGTGTAATTGGACCTGCCGGTGGAGGTGGCTGGGGGAGACGGCAGGCGTATGGACAGCCTCTTTGCAAGTGGGATTGTGTGCGCCGGTGGGTGTGCTGGCGCCTGGCACCGCCGAGTGGGGGGGGGGCACACTTGCCTTGTTCGGGCGGCTGTGATCTTGGGAGGGTTGGCCTGGCGAGGTTTTCGGGATGCTGGCAGGGAGGGTGTAAATGCCATGCATACAGGTCAGCTACTCGGAGGGGCACCGACGGGAACCTGGGACTCCAAGGATATTTGCCTCGAAATAGACCATAGAGACTGATGTGGGGTGTGTGTATCCATTCCGTGGGTTCTACATTTCTTCCCTGGGTGCATTGCTGGGGTCTAGAGCCATGTCCGGGCCATGGCAAGGCTTTGGGGTTGCAGGTGAACATGGGTATCTGTTCCCGATTCGTATCTCCCATGGGTTGTGCAAAGCCAGACATGACACACACACCCTAGGCACCCTGTCGCAAAGCAAGTGTTTGCATGCTTGATACCTGTGTGTGAGCTGAAGGCATGTATTATTTATCTGATTGCCTGGTGCTTTATGTAAGGCAAGAAATAGCAATCTGTGCCCTGGAGGCCCTTTCACTGCAGAGTCAGCCAGGTAAACAGGCTCACCTGCACCTCCAGAGGAGGCAGGGGCCTCAGGTGAGACTTCGTCCCTTCCCATCTCCAGTGTCTGCGTGCTTGGTGGGCCCCCGAAGCTCTGCACGTCAGGACGCCTTGTTGAAGAGTGCCGTGTGTATCAGAACTGGGCTTGCGGGGTGGGAGGGCGCCCACAGCCAGGTGCCCATTTTGTCAGGCCTTGGACACAAATGCATGATGCCCCCTGTATACAGTCCCTGAGGTCAGTGGTGGAATCAAACTTAGAAACAAGTAATCACAAAGATGTGAAAAACATAAAACAATAAAGTGTGGACAAAGTGGTTTTGGTGCTGAGAGAGGGGCAGTGTGGCCGGCAGAAAGGACACGACACTAGAGGACAGCCAAGCTGAAGCCTGAAACCAGCATTCGTCTGAGAAAGTAGCACGAAAACACATGCTTTCTACATGTGTCTCCCCCCCAGCCTCCCAGCAGTTGGGGGAGTGCAAGGCTGGTTACCCTGTCGGGGGAGTGAGGAAATGGCCGTGGGGGGTTGCATGACTTGCTTGTTCATGGTACATGGCAGGCCTGGTGGAGTCATCTTTGAATCGGGACCTTTCTCTCGCTGCCAGACCCTGCTGCCTTGTAACTTACTGGGCACCTGCTACATACCAGGCACCATGGTGGGGGCCCAGGGGTGAAGGTCAGTGAGACCTGGTGCTCAGCCACTAGAGGCTCCCAGTCTGGTGGGGAGATGGACATGGATGGTGGCCCCAGTCCAGACCCGAGGCCCCGATAGCCAGCATGGGTGGAGAAGGCACTGCGAATTCCCTCCTGAGAACCCCAGGCAACCTGGGGTTCTGCCTGTACTGTAGGTTGTTCCCACGTGGAAACACGTGGGTCGTACAAGGAGCCCCTTTTAAAGCTCTCCAGGTGGGCAGGAAGAAGCGCTTCAAGACAGAAGGGTGTGAATGATCTGCTTGTCCTAGTTCTCTCGTGCTGGTGCTGGCCGAGTTCTGTGGAGCTCCAGCTTTTGTCAGGAGGCCGCTTTCTCCTCTCTGCTTTTTGAGGTCTTGCTCCTGCTTTCTGGTGGGCCAGCCCAGCTCCCTCCCCGAGAGGGGCTCAGTTCTATTTCCAGTCCCCGCTGTGCTCCTTTCTCCCCGTAAATTCCCTGGAGTGGAAACCGCCTTGGTTAGGCAGAGTGCAGCCTTTACTGTTTGGAAACCCAGTAACGGTGAAAGCCTTTGGGCTCTGCGGGGCCTTCAGACAGGGTTTGGTGTGAGGTGTGGAGGGCCAGCAGCTGAGCCCTGGGAGAGCTCTGTGTGGGCTCTACTATAGGACCTTCCCGGGCATCGAGTACTCACTGCAGACCTACTATGCGTCTGGCACTGTGAGAGACCTGAGGCCTGGGTTGTGCCTTCCGAAAGGCTGCGGTTGGCTGAGGGGTCCAGAGGGCAACAAGTAAGCGCGAGGCAGGGTGCCACTGGTGGATGAAACAGAGGGCCCCGAAGGGGCCAGAGGACAATGGGAACAACAGCTTGTTTCTTTGGCACTTACTGTGTGCCAGGCACAGTTCAAAGCACTTTCATGAAATAGTGGCCAGTTCATCCTCTGCCCCCCACGCAGAGAGGTGGGAGCAGTCACTGTCACATGGTACAGAGGGGGCAGCCCAGGAGGCCACAGTGGGGCTGGTCATTGGGGCTGAGCTGTGAGCCGGAGGGTCTGACCTCAGCGCCCTTCCTTCCCCCACTCTGCCTGGGTGTGTCCCAAAAGTCTTCCTAGAAACAAAATGCCCGGTGCCTTGGAGGACGAGGAGCGTTTGGCTCCTGGAGAAAGGGATGTTCGAGGCGGGGGAGCCCCTGGGTAGAGGCAAGGAGGCCCGGCATGCCTCCCGTCCCAGACCCGGCTGGGGTGGGCCCGGGCCTGAAGAACGTGCTACTGAGTTTGAACTCGTCTCGGGGGTCGTCAGGGAGCCCCGCAGGTTTCACGGAGGAAGCGGCATCCTCAGCAGTGCGTTACAGGACAGCGTGATCACCTGCCTCCTCCTCCCTTCACTCCCCAAGGGAACCCCAAGGAGGCACGGCCTCCCCCTCCTTTGCTTTCCTTCAGGTCACTGGCATTCTTTTTAGTCCTCGCGGCCTTTCCCTTCTCTTCTTCCAGCAGTTTCGGGTTTTGACCGCCCCACATGACCCAGGACAGGCCTTTGGAGTCCACTGATGCGCTGGTGTCTGCTCTAAAGGTGGCCCTTGGGTCACTGCAGCTGGTTAGCTCAGTTGACTAGAATGTCACCCTGATACCCCAAGATCGTAGGTTCGATCGCCGGTCAGGGCACATACAAGAGTCCGCCAGTGAGTGCGTCAGTGAGTGGAACCACAAACCCATGTTTCTTTCTCTCTCTCAAATCAATAAATTTTAAAAAATTATAAATAAATAATGAAAGTGGCTTCTGGGGCCAGCTGTGAATCAGCCACTGAGCTGGAACCCAGGTCTCTTCTGGACCTCACAGGTCCCACGTCACAGACCTGGAATGGACATGGGCAGCTCCCTTTCCCGTTGGAGAGCTGTGGTGACTGTCCACCATCCGCGTGCCCACGCTCGCCAGCACAGAGTGGAGACAGAGCGGGAACTGGAACCCAGAAAGCCGGGCTCAACTCCGAGACCCCATGGGGGTTCACTGAGGGAAGCCCACTCTGCCTGCCCGCTGTGCTGGGCGCCTGGCCTCCGGCGCTCACCGGCCGCTCTAGTCACTGCGCCTTGGCGCTGGAAGGCTGGGGGGCCTCTGCTGAGGCACAGCCGAGGGGTCCACGTTGGGTGGTCGCGTATGGGAACTGAGGGGTGTGGGGCGAGAGCGGGGGTGTCAGGGAAGTCTTCTGAACTGGCTACCTTGGAAGAGGGGGCCAAGGATTCGGGAGGGGGACAGAAATGGTCACTGGCAGCACCGCAGAAAGGAACCCCCCAGGCATCGATCAGTGAGAGAGGGGCACACGGGGCTGAGCGGTCCTGTGACTTGGGGAGAGAATTGGGAGATGCTGTTCAAAGCCTCGCCCTCTTTTTATCTCCGTGGCCTTGGGCAGGTTGCTAACCATGTTCTAATTCCCATTCTCTAAAAATGGGGAAAATGACGCATTTCCTTTTCCTGTAAGATGGGGGTGACAGGGCGCAGCCGTCGTGCGACTGTCATAGCCCAGTGTCTGTGTGGAGCCCAGCGCAGCCTCTGGCACATAGTACATGCTCAGCAAACACTGGCCTTCGTGATTACCTGACAGGCCGCTGAATTTGTTCCAGAAACTCAGTGGCCCTGGCTGGTGCGGGCCAGTGGCCTGTGAACGGAAGGGTCACCAGTTGGGCACATGCCTGAGTTGTGGTCCAGGTCCCCAGTTGGGGGTGTGTGAGCGGCGGCCACTTGATGTTTCTCTCCCCCTCTTTGTCTTCCTTCCCCCTCTGTCTAAAAATATAAACAAATTATTTTTAAAAAGAAGAAAACCAACGTGTGACAGCCAGCGTGCAGGGGCTGCCTTCACGGAGCAGAGTGAGTGCAGCTGGGGAAGGCGCCGACTCCGGAGCAGTCACGGTTGTCACAGGTGCTCCAGGACGGCGTCGGGACAGCCTCACCTGGGCAGCACTTCTGAGAAGGCGACACGTCCCCCGTCGCCGTGTGTAAGGGGGAGAAGCAGGTTCCAGGCAGAATGAGCAGTGCGTGCAAAGGTCCGAGTTCTCGTTGACGACAGTGTGTGACGCTGGGACTCGGCACCGCGTGGGCACTGCGTGGGCCCTCCGCAAGTGTGAGTGAGTGGGACAGTCTTGCCTCCGAAAACTCCCCCAGGGATGAGGAGGGAAGTGGGCGGGGCCGTGGGGAGGAGAATTGGGTGCTTGCCACGTTCTGGGCTTTCTCCCCCCGCCCGCCCCCACTGTCTCAGCCTCAGTGGAGGGGGTGCGGTGCCTTTCAGGGATCAGGCTTTTGCCTGAGGCCCGGGGAGCGGGGCCCGTGTGGAGTAGTCGGGGTGCCAGCATTAGGCAGGTGTTGCACCCACCCAGGCAGTGTCTGTCCACATTCTGGTTGCTGTTTTAGCTCGGCTGAAACCCTCCACTCGGGCTGAG